AGTGCAAATACGAGTTGTTAGCAATATAGTTAGTATTGTTTCGTTCCTTATTCACGACGCATTTTGTAGGGCCCTATCAGGTTTCATAGCGGTTTCATGGTCAACGAACCCTGAATCTTTCAGGACCGCTCAATTGCCGAGCAAAATTTCGAGAGAGTGAATTGGTACGGGACTTTGAACACATGCATAATTCTCATAGCAGCTGTGACGCAGGTACTTAATCTCATAGTTTTTATTACAATTCCTTCGCCTAAGAATTAGGAGCGTATGCATCTGGAGGGGGCTACAGGCTCCGATCTGTTTATTGCATGAAAAGCACCATTGCGGAGATATCATTTTACTGGGGAAGGGGCGATTTTCCAGGCTTGACGAGCCTCTGGCAGTCTGTGCAAGCAAAAGAGCGCAGGCGCGAGTACAAATCCGATGTGGTTTCCAGGGCTTGGTACCGAAAGGCCGTAGGACTACCGAGGTGGGGCGCCCGTGACCTGACAGATCAGACGGTGCCACCATAATACAACAAGTTTTTTTGCGATCATGGTGGTCCAGAGATTGGTAGAGCAGCTAAGTAGAAACCCAGAGCCGCACGGAATATGTTATAGAATACCTACCTATAATCACCAGACAGGAAGCGAATAAAGCACCTGTCAGCTGTCCCAATCGCTATCCATTCATATGTAAGCCAAATACTTGGACCAAATGATTAGCGTAAAAAAGCTCTGACGAGTTGCTCGCCTGAAACCGCTCGGATTCCCCCACCCCGAATATCGTCTACAAATTTTCTGAAATTTTGTTGGAGTCGGTTAGTGATGACCACTCATTCCCATCCAAATTTTGATGAAAAGTTCGCCTTTAGTTTGTTCAACGTTACATTCAAGACCAAACTATGAAAAACGTGTTTTAGGTTTTGCTCATTCGAAGTTTACTCACTGAAGATTCAAGAGTTGGCAAATTACTTCGCCACGGAAGAAAGTGAACCAACGAACAAACTTCTCTTGGAAAATACTCAATTTTTCGCATAATTTTCAATTGTCGAGTATTACAGTATTAGGTGACGTAACATAGTCATGAGTGATTTTTTTCTTCTTTTCCTCCGTTGCCTTTTGGTTTTTAAGCTGCCTACTTAAGTCATTCCCATGATTCTTGCCTCCAAGATCAAACTGCCTACTAATACCAATTGCTGCCTTGTTTTTTGTCTACTGGTTAAGTCCGGTGTTCATAGGTTCATAGATTATGGTTTCTCCAGGTTATATGCCACTGAGAAAGCTTGCTTACTTACATTACTGTTATTTATTGACTTGACTTTCACTTAACCATAACGTTTTACGCCTTTGGTCAAACTGCCTACTAACATCAAACGACTGCCTTTTATTTATTGCCAACACCAGTGTCTGTGTACGGTTATATACCATTCACTTACTAGAATTTCTAATCGAACAGGGGTCTTATTTATGTTTTGTGTACAATGGTTCCAGAGAATGAATAGTTACCTTCATACAGTCCCTTTTCAACACTCAGAACAACCTATGTTTTGTTTATAGAGCTACTTCGAAGATTAACAGCATCAACAACCTAGTAACAATAACAACAACAGTTTACAAGTTTTCACAACAACTCTAGCATTAGTTTGTCAGGAAAGTAAACAGGCACGGGTTGATATGCTATGGATGAGAAGTGAGATGTTTTGCATAGAGTTTCGTTCGCTGCGGATGACGAGCGTGTCAAGAGGATGATTGGCACAGCGCCAGCCCGTTTTTTTCTAATCGGCAAGGGACCAAAGCGCATAAAATTTTTCGTTTCAATCGTTTCCTACCATTTAAAGTAGCATAGCTGCTCCAAAAACTGGTAGAAAAGAGCTATCGGCGCCAAACCCAGCCTCACTGACACGCCCCTTCATCCGCAGCGAACAAAA